ATAAACATATAGATAAGATAAAGAACTACAGGATCTTTATAGAGACTGGATTATAATACAGAGAATGTATAACAACAGAAAGGGTGGATTCCACTGGGGGGGGCTTTGAATGGCTTATCTTGAGATCAGTCTCTAAAGACAAGCAGGTCCTCATAAAGTCTTGCTCCTCAAAATGTGGTACATTGACTAGCAGTATAATGTGGTATTTTGCTAGAAATACAAAACTCAGACCCTTCAGGATCTACTGAATCAGAATTTATTTTGTACTTTAACAAGACCTCCAAAAGATTCATGGGCACATAAACCTTGGAGAAGTACTGGTCTAAAGAGGTTTCAAGAAACTGTTAGGGTAGAAAACTGACTTCAATAGATTAATTAAATGAGAAGAGATATCAAGATAGTGTAGGTCAAGAGTGAAAAACTGGGTATACACCATCCAAATTCAGCCTGCATATGTGCTTTATGAGGAATGCATAGTGCCTTACTTAAACACTGAGGCATTTAAAATAGAAATACAGGTTTCCTGCTTTCCTTGGGAAAAAATTAGGAGTTTTGGCCAAACTGAACTCCCATTCCCATATGACAGCAAAGGGCAGAACAGATTGTCAGCTTCACACAAAGGTAAGCCCGCTATTACCTTATATTTACTCCTCTTTGTTTGCTCTCATTACCTCTCTGGACTCTAAAAGGTATTTGAGACTGTGAGCCTTGGGACTGACTCTGCTTTATAGAAACTTAACAGAGACTGAAATAGAGATATGGCTCAGAAACTAAAGGGGAACACAGAGTTGAAGAAAGACATTTTTATGTAAGTATATTTTCAGTTATGAAGGAAGTGCCAATAGAAAAAGAGGGTGTAGGGGCTGGTGCTGCTGCCAGCCTTGCAAGCGCAAGGTCCCGTTAGATCCCCAGTACCAAAAAAAGAAAAAGAAAAAGAGGGTGTAAAGGTAGGAGAGAGGGTAACACACATGGTTTTGAAAAAAATATCGAGTACATTAAGTGCTTAGGCTACCTCTTTCTCTGAGGCAGGATGGAAGAGGTGAGATGGGTCCAGATACAGAAGATTTATGCATTCAAAGTTCCTTCCTTAGAGCAACAATACTGTCCATGTAGGTGGAAGCAAGATCATCTTCTGAGGGTGAAGCAGTAGCATGAGAAATTCAGAAGAGTAGTGAATATTTAGGACAGCAACACACTGAAGGTAACAGAGCTGGAACTCAATGAAGCATTAAATGAATTTTCAAGTGACCCAGGGAGCCCTTATGAAGCTGGAGAGCACAGCAGAGAAATAGCAAGCTCCATAATGGTGTGATGAACTGGGACTCCTCCTTACAGATGAGCATTACAGGAATGGAAGGGGATGTCTGGATGGGCCTGAGTTTGCAGAGTGAAGACAAAGACAGTCAGGATGCTAATGGTGTTGATGAAAGCAGCTAAAGTGACCAACCACCAGCTCCTGGCTAAGCTATAAGTGAAAAAAAACTGTGAAAATGATAATTAATTTTGAAAACAAAGATGAAGTAAGAAGCATGAGGTCCCTATGATTCAAGAAGTAAAGGATTTAGAGTTACTGAGTATTCAGAGGCTGCCTGGCTCCAAAATGTATACTCTTTCTACAGTAACTCAAAATCTCTGTGAGTTACACAGAAATACAAGGATAAATCTCCACTTTCCTGACGTGGCAGAGGTGGAGTCTATTTGTCCTGGGCCCTCTGCTAGGAATCACTAGGAAGTCATATGTATGTGGTTGAAGGAACAGGAAGCTTTCACTTTTTATTTCTCCTCTGCTTCCCTTGATTCTCTATTTCCTTATGTCAGCTATTTTTTATATTCTATTAAAGTCTTCAAAGTAAGATGAGAGCAGGAATATTTATGATTCATCATCTCTAAACCTTCCAGTTCGAAAGAGGACAAATAACTGTTGTAGAAGATCCATCTGTTGTGAAAGAGACAAATCCATAAACACAAATTTCTGGCTTGAAATGCCTTCATAATTGTAAAAGGCCCTTTTTTGCATCTTAAATGTTCATTAAACTATTGATGGTTATTATAATGAACATAATAACCATTATTTTTAGTTACTATTAACACTAAAAATTAGAGACTTCTGCCTACAAATACCAAAAATACAATGTAAGTAACTGAAAATCAAAGAATTGGTGATTTTAATATATGTTTAATCTCATCTTCTATTGGTGATTATTACTGTCATTTAAACTAGTACTTAAATTTCATGGTGCTTTTTTCAAATGACTTTCTTATACTTAATTTTATTTCATTCAATTCACATAAGTGATCATCAAGTGTTACTGCTATATGTATTATTCACTCAATCATCCAACAATTAAAAATATAGTAAAGGCAGGCGTGGAACAAATGTAATCTCCAATATGTAATAGATTTGAAATGGTAATAAAGCAAAACTCTTCCATGTGGAGTTTTTTAATTCTCCTTTAGCAGTTAAGGAGAATATTTAATCAATGAAGGCAAGAAAGAGCAAAGTAGAAAAAGTTGACAAATGGGGAAATGTGTTCTAGACACTGTTCACCCCAGAAATTATATTTCCTCTGCCTAAATTTGAGGTAAGAAATAGAAAGTTATTCAGGATTCCATAAACCCATCCCTATTACAATGGGAAAAGGTACTTTACAAAAGGCAGTCACAATTAATTCTGGATTAGATAATTTTGTATCACAATCAAAAGGAATAAAAATATAGTAAAACCTTGTATTGCAAGTAACTTGTTCTGCAAATGTTCTGCAAGATGAGCAAACATTTCTAATACATTTTAACTTGATAGACAAGCGTTCTCTTGCAATTCAAGTAGTATATGTCACCAAACGTCGCATGATCATAACTGACCCAATGGTCCTCCCTCCCGTCCCCTATTTGTCCTGGGCCCTCTGCTAGGATTCACTAGGAAGTCATATGTATGTGGATGAAGAAACAGGAAGCTTTCACTTTTTATGTCTCCTCTGCTTCCCTTGATTCTTTATTTCCTCATATCAGGTATTTTTTACATTCTATTAAAGTCTTCAAAGTAAGATGAGAGCAGGAATATTTATGATTCATCATCTCTAAACAAACCTTCAGGTTCAAAGGAGGACAAATAACTGTCTCCTCCCCTCCCCTCTCCCTCCTCCTCCTCCTCCTCCTCCTCCTCCTCCTC